TTCTTGGGTCACACAGGTTTCTACGAACTCCACTGCCTTCTCTCAGCATTCCATACAAGTTTCACCATCTTCTTTTTAACTTCTGTTTTATGATGGTCTAGTCACATTTCAAATATGCTAGATTCCTTTTTTCTAAAGGCATGAATCAGTTCTTTCTTTTTCTGATATTTTTTTCAGTTCCTTTTTTGCAGAGTTTTTTTGTACTGTGATTTGAGTGGAAGGTTTACAAAACAAATTAATTTTTCATTTAACCATTCCTATACATTTTGTTCTATAACATTAATTTCAATATCTGTAATATAATGCCTCACTTCCATGTAATTCTAATTTCTACTAATGCCACCATACCATTCTGTCTTCCTTTTTTTCTTTTTTAATTGGGAAAAACATAATGGGGGTACAAGGAGGTGAGGGTTGGGGGCAGAAGGGTGAGGATGGGTAGGGATGCAGTTGCAGAGCTGCACAATTTGGTTGGTGCCCTCTGCCCGGGGCAGGCTGTCCTCGGCCCTCAGCTCTGGGCCAGCCATCACAGCACTCAGGTGAGCTCCCCAGTCCCCAGATTATCCCATCTGACCCCTGGGTAGGAAAAAAAATGCCTAGGGTATCCAGAGAATTTTATCTAGGCTACTTTCTGCTATCCTCTCCCCTAGTAAACCTAAAAGCAACACCCCCCCCCAAAAAAAAAGGCTGACTTGAACACAGGCCATAGATGTGACCTGGGCTTCCAGCAAGATTGTGTGTATAGGAAACACCAGGGAGACACACTCCTTAGAATAACTAGCAAGTCCACCACCAGTAAGAAGATTGACAGAGAGCATGTACCCAAAATAAAGTCTTGAAGGCAAGAACTGGTAGGATAGGAGGATTAATGGAAATTAGAATTACAGGGAGGAAATAGGAAAAATGTGATTGCCTTATGGATATTGTACTAAATGTTATAAAACAAAACATGTGAATGATTGAAGAAAAACCAACATATTCTGTAAACCTATGTGTAAATAACAATAAAAAAATACTAAGTGAAAAACAATCGGTTGGTGGGGGGAGCAGGTGAAGGAAATGAAAAGGATCCAGTGGGGACCAGATCCTACAGGGGAATGGTAAGCATTTTCCAATGGCAATTAAACCAACTGTCTTATTGATTTTGGAACAGGATGCAGACTTTCTGGCTTCTTCATGCTGAACAGGGGTGTTGATGTGAAGGGGGAAAGGGAATACACTTGATCACCTTACTGGTGGTCTTGGGTTAAAGCTGCTTGCCTTCTTGTTCTGTTAGAAGATATTTTCCTGTCATTTGCTCCCCTCGGGACTGCAAAGTGTTTTCCCAGGTGTGTCCAGTGGGGATGGCTGGTTGAACCCAGAGGCTCCATCCTCCCTTGCTTCCTTAGCTGGCAGTTGCATTTCCTTTTTGTCACTGGCACTGGGTTCAGGGTCAGGTCTGGAGTAAAAGTCAGTGTTACGGTTACCTATAGGAAAGGGAGCAAACCTAGAGAGAACAAACTTGTGAGTTACAAATAGAAGGGCTTTGGGGGTGTTGCTTTCAGGTTTGCTAGGGGAGAGGGTGGCAGAAAGTAGCCTAGATAAAATTTTCTGGATACCCTAGGCATTTTTTCCCCATCCAAAGGTCAGATGACACAGTCTAGGGACTGAGGAGCTCACCCTGAGGGCCGTGACAGCTCGCCCTGAGCCGAGGGCCAAAGACAGCCCACCCTGGGCAGAGGGCCCCTTTTTTTAAGTGATATTATGCTGATCATCTCCTTACTTCCTACTGTGTTTTAAGGTGTCCGTCAGCTTCTGCTATTGTCTTTTCAATATTTTTATTGTTTCTTTGTGTCACTAGCCTTAATTTTTAAGTTCCTTTTCAAAGTATGGAGGTCTTTGAAATTCAGTTGTTAAAGAGTAAAGTCTAAAACATTTAGAAGCTCTGTTTGTGGGTGTGTATTTCAGTCCAGAGTGAGCTGAATCTCTTTTTTTTATTATTATTAAATTTTATTAGTTTTAATGAACATTTACAGAGATTTTGGGTTTTCATTCATTCATTGTTGCACTGTTTTCTCCACCCTCATCCCTAGTTTGTTCTTCTTCCCAATGTCTGTTTTAATTGTCCAATTGCCACAGTGCTTGTCAAAGCCAGTTCTGATTATTCTCCTTTGTCAGTGTGTCCCTTGCCATTCCCTATCACTCCTCCCTGAGAGAAACTCCACCTGATTCATAAGGAAAAGGGGATGGCGTATTCTCTTAGCTACTTCCTGCTGAAAAGGGACGCTGTGGGTTTCAGGGTGAAGATCTTCTCTCACTACTCTAAAGGGCCCCTTTGGCAGTAGGAAACACATAGACTATTATGGAGATTGATTTTGGAATTTAGATGCACTGTTATCAATTGTGCTTAGCCGTACATGTTCATATCCTTGAAGATGTATCATGTAAGTGTTGCAGCCTAGAAGATACAAATTTAACTAACAAGTTAAAAGTGCATGAGTAAAAAATTGAAAAGCAATAATATTCTGTGAATCTCTTTTATAAAAAGCACTCAAATTTGCATCTGGAAGTCTTTTTTTCTAGGGAGGTTTCAGAGAAGAACTCAATAATCAAAATGAACTACATAATTGTTCAGGTTCCAGAGTAAAAAAAAAAAAATTTAAAATGGGGGGGGGGTTCAGATTAAAGAATCAGGGAAAAAAGCTTAGTTAAAGTACTAAAGTATAGAATTTTTCCTTTAAAATTATTTTCTTATTTGTACTAGGGTTAATGGTAATATAGGCATAACAACATAACCTTAACAAATCACAAGAAAATTGTTGATGTCATAATTTTTCATAATATAATGAATTCTAATACTTTATTAATATGATTTCTTGGTTGGTCATAAGATTTTTTTTCTGGCTTGCTTTCCTGCAAATTCATTTATTAGGTCATAAAACATTATCCATTCAGCAACTTCATTTTCAATCTACCTCATTAAAAGTGATGTCAGTTGTTCTTGGCAAGTGGAAGACCTCAAATAATTTTTTTTAATTTTCATTTTAAGAATAAAACAAACAAAAGTAGAATGAGAAACATGAATAAAAGTAAAGAGGTGTGAAATTGAGAAGTAAAAGAAAAGAATGAGTAGATCTAGTAAGAGAAGACCTATTTCAAGAAGACATTTAAATGCCATGCAAAGGAGCTTCAACTAGCCAATAGCAGATGGAGAATTATTATTAACATTTTTAAACCAAGGGGGGTGGAGAAAGAGAAGAGATATGCATTGACTACATATTTTTTAGAAGGATGATTTTATAAGCTTTACCAGTAAATCCACACAATTACACAAGTGATCTCAGAAATAAAAAACTGAAACTAAGAGTGAATTAACATAGCATTGGTTACACAGCTAGAATGTGTCAGAGCTGGAATAAGAGTGCTGGTTCAAGGACCCAGTTCTTTGCTACATGAATTATGCTATACAGTAGGACGACTATCTTGACTGTTGAATATGATGGAAAGAAAAAAGACTTGAAACCAGAACTCCAAATAACACCCTAATTTAATAAAATTCTAATAATTTAATTAGAAAATAAGGATGATCTACAGTGAAAGCGACAAAAGGAACAGAAAGGAGAAAAAAAAACTTCAAGAGACATTGGAGAATTAGATTAGATAAAACCAAGTCACATTTTTGGATGCTGACTGATAGAAAATGGCAGTGATTAAAGGTTTCTTGGTAATTCTGAGCATGACTCTTGGTAACTCCAACAACAGCTCATCAGGTGTAAGTGATAAGGTGAATGTATGTTGAGTTGGGTGTCGTGATAGAGCAGCCAGATGGAAATAACTGGTGGGCATAGCAAGATGTAGACCAAGAAAGAATTGAGTCCAGTATCAAAGACCGAGGTTTAGAAATTATTCACACTGAATAGAAGACATAATAAAGGATGAAATCATCAGAGGAAAACAAGCATATCAAACTCAAAACTTAGCGCACAGGAGCTACGAATGGGAAAGAAAAGAACAACCTGAGATGTAGAAAAATTCTCCAAATCCAATTGCTTGAGATTCAAGAAGACAGGAGTGGTCTATATAGAATATTACCAAGAGGCTGGAGGAGAATAAATAGGAGAAAGAATTATATTGAAGATGTAGTATAATTAGTGCCCTTTGAAAGAATAATTTCAGAGAAGAGGCAAAACCAAAAATCAAGAGTGAGTTAGAAGTAAAAATTGAAGGAAACAGATGAAGACTTTTTAATTGTTATAGAAAAAGGAAGAAATTAAAACATGAGAAATATGGAGCTAGAAAACCAACGCAGTGACCAATTATTAGAAATCTAGTCTTTTAATTTTACAGATGAGAGAACTGAATCCCAGGGGGGTTTACCAATTACCTTGTTGAACATCATTAGAAACAGAGCTTCAAAAACCAGTCAAGATGAAATGATAGCTACAGGGGGATAAAGATCAAGGCAAAACCTGCTCTTTCCAATGGAGATCCCAATGAATTAAATTTCCTTTTACAACCTGGCCTATATACATGGTTCCAATTTACTTTCAATATATCTGGAAGAAAGATCATATTATTCATAACAAACTATGACTATATTCCTTCACTTGCTGGGGGAAAATGCAATGTGTAGGCCTGGGCAAAGAAAGCAGAACTTCTGTGTCACCCATTTTTATTCTACTAGGAATTTTTTTTTTTAAATATATATTTCTGAAGCCTAGAGGACAGGAAGAATTACTCATACTAAATTTGAAAGACATCACTATAATAATCTTGGGAATACTCCACCCTGTCCCATTCTAGAGATAAGAAACAACCCCAAGGTAACTCTCCACCTACAGAAATGGATACATATGGTAAAGACATTCATTAAAGGGGGGGGAAATTTCACCCAATTAGGGATAATTCACAATGAGCTGGCAAACACCATTTTGCTATGGGTAGCAAAGTTCATCAAGAAACACCCTAATAATGTGTCTATAAAAGCGAACCAAACTGGGTAGAGGGCATTCACCATTAGCGAGCTTCACGTTAGGTACAAACTCTCCGTCTAGACACCATGTCTGTGCGCTTTTCTTCTGCATCCAGACGGCTGGGCTCCTCTGGGGGCTCTGTGAGGCTCTCCAGCGGCGGAGCTGGGTTTGGGGCTGGAAACGCATGCGGAGTGCCAGGCATCGGGAGTGGTTTCTCCTGCGCCTTTGGAGGCAGCTCCTCTGCAGGAGGCTATGGCGGAGCACTGGGCGCAGGGAGTGCATCCTGTACAGCCTTCATAGGGAGTGAGAACGGCCTCCTCTCTGGCAACGAGAAGGTGACCATGCAGAACCTCAATGACCGCTTGGCTTCCTACCTGGAGAATGTGCGAGCATTAGAGGAGGCCAACGCCGACCTGGAACAGAAGATCAAGGGGTGGTATGAGAAATTTGGGCCTGGTGCTTGCCGGGGTCTTGATCACGATTACAGCAGATACTTCCCAGTAATTGAAGACCTCAGGAACCAGGTAAGAAACACAATGCCACAAGTGTTAATACCTAAGAGGTCATTAAGCTACACACATATACAAACTGTCTACGCTAATACAAACAACAGGGTTCTCAGCATTCAACTTATAAATGGGGGTTGATCACTAAATAGTAAAAAATAGATTATATTATTAATTGGTGCTCTGGTAGCCTAGTCCTTAGAAAGCTGGTGTTGCAGACCCAAAAGCACCTTTCTGGTGGTTCAAATCTAACAGCTTCACAGGAAAAAGATGGACCATTTCCTCCCCTTGTGGTTTACAGCCTCAGAAAACACATTTGTGGTTCAGCTATGAGTCACTTCTGATTTGAAAACAATGAGTAAATGAGTAAGCAAATTTAATAAAAAATCTAATCCTTAAGTACGGCTTATTCACCACCTGGTATTAGATATGCATGTTTATGGTAATATTAACCATATGTTTTTGGTAATATTAAAATCTCAAAAGCTCTTCAGTATCTCTAACTACATATGTACCCCATTTCTCATAGATTATTTTGTTTTGGTTTCCTTTTTTTTGACATAGTGGGAAGTAAAAGAAACCATACACCAATTTGGCGTGTTCAAATGAATCAACATATTTTTGGAGACAAAAAGTGAAAAATATTAGTATCATTTCATAGGTGACTTCATTTCAAGGAAATTAAAAATTCATTTTTATAATTTTTCATTTAATAGAATTAGATGTAAATAGATCATTCATATAGTAGAAATATGATAAATATAATTCAATATAAATTATCAGTTAGAATATAAAGAGTAGTCCCCTGTTCTTCACTAACTCTTTGTATTTCAGATCATTTCTGCCACTACAAGTAATGCCAGTGTGGTCCTGCAAAATGATAATGCCAGACTAACAGCTGACGACTTCAGGCTAAAGTAAGTAGATCCAAAAAGAAATAGGAAAAAAGTTACCTAAGCATTTCCCTCTTTTACATAGATTACTTGAAGCCATCTAAACTCAATGCCTTGTTTTTCTTTAATTAAATGCGTATTGGAGTGACTACATGTGTTTCAGGCACTTACCTACTATGGAATGTGTCTAATAATTTAGAGCTAATGCAAGTAATTGTTGAAGCCAAAAGAAAGAGAATTTTGAATGTTGCCATTCTTTAGAGAAATGAAAATGGCCTAGGATAGACCCGCGTTCAGATCTACTGTTTATGGGGTCACTATGAGTGGTAATACTCCCCTCGACAGCACGTAACAACAACCGAAGCTCTAAGGCTGTTTTCATCATTTCTAACTCAGAGCTAAAATTTGAGATTGACAGTGATCTAATATGTGATCTGATCATTGTGATGGAAGTGCAAACATTCTTCCTAAGGTTTGAAAATGAGCTGGCCCTTCACCAGAGCGTGGAAGCGGACACGAACGGCCTGCGCAGGGTCCTGGATGAGCTGACCATGTGCAGGACCGACCTGGAGATCCAGCTGGAGACCCTGACGGAGGAGCTGACTTTCCTAAAGAAGAACCACGAGGAGGTAGGTGCTCTTCTTCAGCTTCCCAAATTTAAGATTCACTTCCTAGTGGCCATGTATCTTTTAAAAGGAATGTTTACAAAAGACTGCCCAATGCTCCAGGTGGCTTGGATAATGTGAAATGTTTCCAACCAGAACGTTTCAAGCAAGAAAAAAAAGGAGTCTATGCATGCCCCTCTTGCTGTTTTAAAAACATTTGCTAATTTGTTTAATCAAATATCTTTCAGGAAATGAAGGCTCTACAATGCGCTGCAGGAGGCAATGTGAACGTGGAGATGAACGCAGCCCCAGGGGTGGACCTCACTGTCCTCCTGAACAACATGCGAGCTGAGTATGAAGACCTTGCAGAGCAGAACCGCAGGGACGCCGAGGCCTGGTTCAACGAGAAGGTAATGAAAGGCCTGCCGGGACGTGCTTACGCGTTACACCTTAACCACACCTTACCAGGGCTCACCATGTCTTATCTTTCCTTCCTGCGTTTCAGAGCGCATCCCTGCAGCAGCAGATTTCCGACGATGCTGGTGCCACCACCTCAGCTCGTAATGAACTCACTGAGATGAAACGGAACCTTCAAACCCTAGAGATTGAGCTTCAGAGTCTTCTAGCCATGGTAAGTGAATATCGCAAAAGAGATTTGCTTTAGATCATTTTCTTCCAGATCATAACTTATTTGAAGTTTTATCCACTATGGTGTTATATGATATCGTTGCATCATGCATGTTAAAATCCTCTTTGTCTGAAAATGCTACCTAGATGCTAATAATTATATAATATTAGAAGTTAGCAAATACCATTTTAGGGGGATATTCGGAAAATAAATTGTACCTGGGATGGTCCCCCGCCACCCCAAGTCAAATGATGAGAACCTGCAGTCCACAGTGAGTAAAAACACAGTGGCACCCCTCCTAGGTTCTTCATATAGCATGTCTTGTGGCTTCTTCATTAAAAGCACCTATAAGTTAGTTCCTTTTTAAGTGGCAGGAACAAGAAGCAAAGGAGAAGCATAAAGGCTATCTATAAAGCTAAACATGCATAATGATAGTAATAACCTTCCTCATTTTAAGGGCTTACCCAGCATTTTCACCTACACATGAGCCTGACAGTAACCCTGAGGCATGGGTAGGAAAGACATTATCACGGGAGTCATTATTTCCACAAGAGGAATGTGAAATTCAAAGAAGTCATTTACCCAGAGTCCCACAGCTGGATAAGAAGATACTCAAATCTCCTTCCAGATTTCCTGTCTCAGAATTCCATAGTTTTTCCTCCTATCACTAACAAACTTCCAGCTAATTTATCCACCAAGGAGGTGCTGAATGTGCATGAAATTGGAACTTTCTATAGAGACTCGTAGATGAAGGGATGTGGCCTTGTCACCTCTGGTTTGAGTAAAACAATATCAAATAACTCTATGTGGCTCTCTATAACTCCACTTGGACTCACATCCAAGGAAGCAAACTATTTAAAACCTAAAAAAGTAATTCTTTTCTTTGAGTCATTTTATTTACACAGAATTTATTAAATTCACTATGGGGTTTTGTGGTTTTTAAACACAAACAAACCACACACACACACACACATACAAAAGAAATACAATCCTCACGAGACAGGCCATTTTTTATTCAAAATAAAGTCTTTTTTTTTTTTAGCAAACTAATATTTTAAAACTGAGAACTTGGGGTTAGGAAGAAAAATGTGCAGCAATGAATGAGTGAAAAAATCCAACTTTTCCATAAACTTTTGTTAAAATAATTTTTTAAAAAGAAATAAAGCAATTTTTTTTTTAATTTCCAGGAAAAGTGATAAATTCTGTGAGACCTGAAAGCACAGGTTGTATTGGTAGTTGGATAGTATCTTTACATTGTGTCTATGAGGAAACAATTCCATATTTTTTTTTTTTTTTTTAGTAAAAGTACATACATTTTTATTTGATGTATGTCATTGGAAGGGAAGGACGCCTGGGGAGAAACAAACCTAAATAACTTGCATTAACGCTCTTCATCCTAAAGCCCATTCTATTCTTCCTTCCTCTCAAGCAATTTCAACTTACTGGGCTATAGGCAGGAAGGTAAAGGTGGCTTGGTATTTAGAGATACAGAAACTCAAGGAACCAAAAGCATTGTTCTGTTGTGTTTGAGTAGAACTTTACAGTCAGGATATGGAGTTGTTTTGGGGTCTTCAGTAGGCAAGAAATACCTCACAAAAATGGAGCACGTCATCATTTAAAATTCAAAATAGAAATGCATATGCAACTTGACTTCTAAGGCAAAATGTTCCATATGCCTTTAACAAATTCTGGTTATCTGAAACGAGTGTAGTTCAAGCTTTCTAAAATAAACTTATGAGTGGAGTATGGACAAAAGAGACACTCAAAGGCTGGGAATTGACAATGAGTGATCCAGGTAAGGACGGATCTGGCTCTGGTTAAGGAAGCCACTATTATTGGGCTTCTCTAGTGAGTGCAAAGCCTAGAGGAAGTGTGACAAATGTCACCACCAGCCAGCCTTCCGGGCCAGAAGGAAGAATGCTAGGCTACTCATATGCAGGCATTTACAAAATGGAAGCTGCTTTGTAATGTCACAGCCTAAGAAACAGCAATCCAGAAAAGTTGGCCACCTCTTCCTCCTTCAGCAACAATGTACATGTTAGAAAGACTTGACAGGCAAATAGATTGAAATTTGAAAAAGAAAATGTATAAATTTATATAGGTATCCAACGTTGGATAGCATTTGCCTAAGGTAATCTGGCATTACAATGTCCAATATATTGTGAATTCCTTATATGACTTAATTAGTTGGTAATTTTAACTATGCACAATAGTTAAAAATATTGCAATTCCATATTTTCTAACACACCTGAGCATATGAATAACTGTCACTGCCAACAAAGAGGAAAAAAGTCAAGTCACTTCTGGGTCGACTTGAACCTCCAACCTTTGGATAAACCAATGAGTACATTAGACACCTAAACCCCTTAGGGACTGCCAAGGATAAGAAAGATTATTTGAAATTAAGCACAAAGTCGGTACAGGTAACAATTAATATTGAACAAGTGGCATTTTCTGGATGAATATGGGTATTTCCTTTTTTCCCCTTAACTTTTTTTCATTAATTTTAATGAGGGTATTTGCTTTATTTAAAGAGAATTCTTCTAAGTATCCCTTAGGATTGTGCCTTGCTGTATTCTGGAAGCAGCATGTGACACTTCCGCCTTACAAATCCACAGAAACACTCCCTGGAATGCTCCCTGACTGAGACCGAAGGCAACTACTGCACACAGCTCACACAGATCCAGGCTCAGATCGGGGCCCTGGAGGAGCAGCTGCACCAGGTCAGAACCGAGACCGAGGGCCAGAAACTCGAGTACGAGCAGCTGCTCGACATCAAGGTCCACCTGGAGAAGGAGATCGAGACCTACTGCCGCCTGATAGATGGCGAGGATGGGTGAGTACTGCTTCCATTCAGGAAAGGCTTTATTTCAAGGTTATTAAAAACACCTAAATGCCATCAAACAGACTCCAACTCATAGCAAGCTTTTATGCATGTCAGAGTAGAACTGTGTGCTTGTGTTGGAAATAGATGGTCAGGCCTTTCTTCAAGTCACCTCTGGGTAGCCTCAAACCTCCAACCTTTTGATAAATCACTGAGTACATTAGCCACTTAAACCCCTTAGGGACTCCCAATGTTAAGAAAGATTTTTTTTTTCAAATTAAGCACAAAGTCTGTACAGTAAAAATTGTGACAGACAGAACTCAATGAGTCTGTCAGGTCTTTCTGGGTTTCACAGATTTTTCACCTTTGCCTGGATACAGTCACTTTATTGACACTCTCTATAGGTGGAAAGTACTTGCCTTTTCCTTCCCTGGCAAGATTCCGCCTGACCTAGGTCCTGGCTTCCGCTCTGTGATCCAGAGCATATGTACATCAACCTCATTCTGGGAGTGTTATTGCAGAGTTCAGTGGCCTTTCATCTTAAATCCTTGTTTTCCCATTTCCTCAGCAAAAGACAGAGAGAAATTATTAATGCTAACTCTCTATATTCTTCCAGCTCTTGTGTTAAATCAAAAGGCTACGGAGGACCAGGAGATCAGATAAAAGGTAAATAAAATCTGTGTGAAACATTCAGTGTTCATTTGTGTGTGTTTCTCATGATGAATTATTTCTGACTTGTGAATTTGATGAATTCTAACAGTTCATGTGTGTCATTTTAGAACCCCCTAAAACCATCATTAAGACAGTTGTTGAAGAAGCAGACCCTCGAGGAAGAGTCACCCCGCCCCGAGTTCACAGCTTGGAAGAGAGACCCAGCAAAGTCAGCAGCATCAAGACTGAACAGAGGGTGCCTTCCTGAACCCCATCTACAGCCCCCAAACAGCAAGCCCTCAAAGCAAACTGTCAAATTGAAACTTGGTTCCTAAACCAGTCCACTCTTATTTCTCTGCTTTTCTTTCACGACCAACTTTTTTAGAATAGTAACATTTCTTTGACTTTCTCTGTGGTTGGTGTTTCAATAAAATTTCTGCCTGTTGCAAGTCACCTTCATTGTTCCAGAACAATCTTTGCATTTCAAATATAGCCCCCTCAAGCGGAAGCTGAAATTAATTTGCCAATTCTTCTGTTTAATCCATTGGTCTTCACAATTCAAGGAGAAATTTAATAGCTAAATGGAAGTCTTTTTCACACCTCTTAAATATTCCTTTACATACTAAGATCCAGACAAGGAGGAACAGTTAATGAAGTCTCATCTGTGAGCTCAGCATGCTCAGAAAAATAAAAATAAGAAATTAAAGGACTGAAAATAGAAGCCTATTAATAATGAGATTGGAAAGTAGGAAGAGGAGAGACAGAGGCTAGGACAGTGATGATTGGAGAATTCACATGAGTGTCTTAATCTTTCCCCCTAAAGATGAGAATTCACAAGAACTCTTCTCGCTTTTAGGAACTCCAGTGGCCTGTACTGAGGTAAAGTGGAGTTGTGGTGATGCTGAACTTTGTGCCATTGGGGTGGTAAATGCCATAATGGTTACCCATGTGGACAGTATTTGGTGGAGCTCCCAGTTTAAGACAGGTTTGGAAGCAGGGGTGGCATCTACTTCCTAAACAACATGCCTCTGGAAACTCTAAGAACTTTGGGAAATGAGGATAGTTATAGAAAGGCTTCAGGTCTTTTGTTCATAGGGTCATTATGAGTCGTGCTCAACTCGACGGCAATCAACAACAACAGTGGCCTTGTGGGTTGAGAGTGACCCTGCCAAGCCAGAGGCAGGCAGTTTGAATGCACCATCTGCTCCATGGAAGAAAGATGGGCAGTCTCCTCCATTGAGATTTATAGCCTTTGAAAACCCTCTGGGGGGGTCTGTTAAAGCAAGGTTATAGAGCAAGATTGAGAGAATGAGTGGCTATATTTTGGATTTTTTAAAAAAAAAAAACTTCCAGGAAAGAATCAAACATCAGTGACAACCACTATTTTCTATGCTACAGGCACTGTCCTGAGCACTATTTAATCCTCAAAACAACTCTGTACAGTAGATACTATTATTTTCCTCATTTTACAGCTAAGGAAACTGAGACTGAGAACCACTGTGAAGTTTTTGAGGTCACACCCAAATCACTAGAGGTAGTGGAGTGCTCGTCCAGTCAACAGGGCATAGAGTTTGTGTGCTCAGCCACTACCTAACACCACGTTGTGAAGACCTGGGAACCCTGGGTGGTTCAGAGGTTAATACATTCAGTTGCTAACCAAAAGGCTGGAGGTTCATATCTCCCCAGATGTGCCTTAGGAAAAAAGGTCCAGCAATCTACTTCAAGAAAACCAGCCTCCACAGCCCAGGAATGCATAGGGGTCCTCTGACATGATAGGAACACCATGAGGCAGAGTCAACTCTGGCAACTGGTATACTAGGGTTCCAGTTGCCTCCTAAGGAGAGGAGAAAAATTTAAACCTAGTCGATCTGAGATGAGGCAAAATCATGAGGGTCTCCATCTCACAAACTTTTTGTTTAGTGCCACTGAGTTGACTGTAACTCATCGGAAGCAGGAGCAGCATCCACTTCCTAAACATGCCTCCAGAAACTCTACAAACTTTGATAAATGTCAACAGTTTGTATTGGGGCTTCGGGCCTTTTGGTCATAGGGTCGCTATGAGTCATGCTCGACTAAAAAGCAAACAACAACAACAACAATAAAATAACCACACTATGAACAATAGATTGGAATCTGGCCTTATTCTGCACCATTCTCACCACTGCTGATGTGTTCGAGCCCATTGTTATAGTCACTGTACCAATCCATCTAGCGAAGGGTCTTCCTCTCTTTTCCCTGACCCTCCACTTTTCCCAGCATGATCTTTTTCCAAGGTCTGGCCCCTTCTGACAACATGCCCAAAGTATATGAGATATATTCATATCCTGGCTTCCAAGGAACACCCTGGTTGCATTTCTTCAAAGACAGACTTGTTTGTTCTTTTGACAGTCATGGGATAGTCAGTAGTTTTCTCCAATATCACAATCTGAAGGCAAACAGACTATCCATTTTGTAAAAGGGATTATTAGAACACCAGAATCCAATTCTCAGACAGAAATGCTATGAAGCCAGTGGGAAAACAAACCTCATTAATGTTCAAGCAAGAACTAGACAAACCAAACCCACTCCTGTCGAGTCAGTTCAACCTTACTTTAGGTTCCCTAAATGGTCAAAATGGGAATTGCCCTCCTGCCCCCCCAACACACACACACACACACAGAGCAGCCGGTGGATTTGAACCATTAACCATTAGCATCCTGATAATGTTACTCACTCTAGTACCAGGGCTAATTAAGGATGAAAAAATACCTAAAATTTTATAGCAAGTGTGAATTTAGAAAAGTATGATTAAGAAAACTCAACAGACTTGCCCTTCTGCATAAACAGGGGAGTTAAACAGCATACGTTCCAGACTTGTATTAATAGAGACATGTTTTGTGATCTGTTATCACTTAGCTTCAGAGCCAACTCACCTCTAAAATGGTTATAATAATATATACTTAACTTATTTCACAAAAGATTGTGAGTTAATTAGTATTTGTAAAATATCTAGAGATACAGTGATAATACTTGGCAACCTCATTATATCTCTTATTGAAGAAGCTCCAGCCATATAAACGATTACACTAACAACATATTCCGTGTTTCATAATTTATACACGGGAAACACGGACCAAAATAATACTTTCATTTTACCTCACCCCCCCAAAAAACCCCAGTAACTATGTTGTGAATGGCTACATTTCTGAACTCACTCATTTTCTTAGTACGTGCTAATTTTCTGGTAAATATCCTAAAAATATCTTGATCAGAAAATTTCCAAGTATTCTAACCCACTAAATATTCCAACAACTAGTATTGAGTGTTTTTAAAAATATTTTATATTCATAGCATTGAAAAATCTCATTCAAAAAAAGAATTACTATTTCAAAACCAAGCCTATAATCAGTTAACTAATCAATTTCTATCATTATACCTGATAGATATGTCTGATATGTACACTTTATTATAATAATACCACTAATTAACATGTATAATATATTTGTGTCTTTCAGATAATTTTATAGTCATTCATTATAGAAGATGCTCAGAATTAATTTGAGACTGTACGATGGCATTATTTCCTTTGCCCTAACAAGGAAATGAAGTAGAAGGAGACTGAATAACTTACCCAGGGCATCAAGACTACAGAAATACGATTCTGCTTTCTTCTTGTTATTGATATCCGCTCCTGGCTGACCCTCCAGTGAGTTTTCAGATTGCCCATCTTTCTCCCATGAAGCAGCTGGTAAATTCAAATCTAATGCCTTCTGATTGACAGTAAAACTCCTTATTACTAGGTCCACCAGAGATGTCTTTTCACCTTTCAGATTAGGACAATTAATCTTTTATGGAGGGCTCTATAATCACTGGTTTTCCATGTAGACTGGTCTAGAAGTAAGAAGTTGCATTGGTAACCTAAAAGTATATGGTTCAAATCCACCAATAGCTCCATTTGGGAGAAAGATCGACAATCTCTTCCAGTGTGATTAATTGCCACTAAAAACCTGCTGACTTCTGAAAAAACAAAAATGAAGTGGGAAGCATAGCATTCCCTGACCTCAAAACCAGAAGTAGTAACCAAAACAGCATGATACTGGTACAACGAAATGCACATAGACCGATGGAACAGAATTGAGAACCCAGAAATGGACTCAATCATCTGTGGTCAACTGATGTTCAACAAAGAATTAAGCCTATCAAATGGGGAAATGACAACCTCTTCAACAAATGGTGCTGGCAAAACTGGAGTGCAGCAGAAAGCTGAAACAGGATCCACATCTCATACCATACACAAAAATCAACTCAAGGTGGGTGAGAGAACTGGGAGTAAAGCACAAAAACGTAAAGTTCATCAAGACAAAATGGTATTAAGCTTAAACAGCCTAGACTATGGTATAAAGAGACTGCCAAATACAGCCAGAAATGCTCAATCTGGAGAGGATAAATTTGATGAATAAGACCGTCTAGATATTAAATCCCTGTGTACATCAAAAACTTTTCCATCAGAGTGAAAAGAAAACCTACTGACTGGGGAAAAAACATTTGGCAATACCATTTCAGACAAGGGTTTCATTTCAAAAATTTACAGAATCCTATAGGCCCTCCACAAGAGAAAGATTGATAACACAATTACAAAATGGGTGAAAGACATGGAAAGAAGTTTCACAGAGGAAGGTATTTGGATGGCTATCAGACACATGAAGAAATGTTCAAAATCACTGGCAATAAGAGAGATGCAAATCAAAACCGCAGTGAGATACCATTCTCACTCCAGCAGCAGTGGCAAAGTTTAGCAGGACAGCAAGTAATAAATGTTGGAGAAGATACGGAGAGATAGGAACTCTTATACATTGTTGGTGGAAGTGTAAAATGGTACAACCACTCTGCAAGATGGTTTGGCATTTTCTCAGAAAGCTAAACATAGAAATTCCATATGACCCAGCTATTCTACTGCTTGCAATGTATCCTGAGAAAATGAGAACTAAGGCACAGAAACTTGGACACCAATGTTCATAGCAGCATTATTTACCATCACAAGGACATGGAAACAGCCCAAATGTTCAACAACAAGGGAATGGATTGAGAAATCATGGTACATTCACACAATGGACTACTATGTAGCACACAGGAGCAACGATTTTGTAAATTACTACCTAACATGGGAGGGACTGGAGAGCATTATGCTGAGTGAACTAAGGCCCATAAGGAAAAATACTGTATAAGACCATTATTGTAGAATGTGTATGAGGATCCAAGGTGGGGAGGGTAGGAGCAGAGGGGTCAGAGGCAGGGGATTAATCATAGGGTCATACAATTTGATGGGTGGAGGGGGTAGTTAAGGAAATGGGGGGGGGAATCAGTGTAAAAAACAATGTATACTAACTTTATAAGTAAACCAAGATAAAATAAAAATTTTATTTAAAGGGAAAAAATAAAAATCTGCTGAGAGTCAACTATGGGCTGGTTATGACTTGGTGGTACACAACAGTAACAACATCTCTAAGCTCATTTCTCAAAATAATTCATAATGCCTTAAATATGGAAGTTTAAACTGAGGCAGTTAACAGTATTTTCGAGTCATGACTGGCTCATAGATGACCCTCCAGTGGGTTTTCAGAGGCTATAAATCACACAGGAGGAAACCACCCGGCTTTCTCCTGCAGGGTAGCTGGTAGATTCAAGCTGCTTGAATTTGGGATAGCAGCTCAACTCCTTACTTACCAGGCCACCAGAGCTCCCTGTACCCAAACAGTCAAGAGACCTCTCAGGTGACAGCTTTCAGGTAAACACTAGAGAGGTCTCTAAAGTGAGCACTAACACTCATGGGGAATATGCTCCTCAGAATAGTCAATCATACAAGACCAAACTGGCAGCAATTGCCCATAAACAAAACTCAGAAAGCAGGAAACAGGGCAGGAAAGAAGGACAAATAGAAATAGAGAACCCTGGGAGGCACTGAGAAGAAAGCTGTCATATTGAGAGGAATTACAACTAATGTCACAAAGCAAAATGTGCATAAATGGAAAGCTAATTTTCTTTGGAAACTTTCACCCAAACCATAACCAAATTTTGGAGCGGGGGGGAAAGATGTGTGTTTACTCATACATAATTTTGACCTCTGAGACTATGATTTAGTGTTACTCCACCTGGCACCTTTTTAATATATAAAAATTATCCTTGGGGCACTTTTCCACCTACAGACTGGCTACTAAAAGTCACCCAACTGTGAAAAACAGCAATTAGAGTCCAAGTAATATTTTATTACAGATTGGTATAACTTAACACTGAAACGACTTCCTGAGTCCTATAAAAGCCAAGCAGAGCTGACCTCCAGGGTGAACAAGTGCACTTTGCCTTTGCTCTTCTCTGGGAAAGGGTCTTTGCCTGTCCTCTCACCATGTCATTTCGATTTTCCAGCGGATCCAGGCAGGTCTGCTCCCGAGCTGGCTCTGTTAGGCTGTCAGGTGGAGGACCAGGCTTTGGAACTGAAAGCGTGTGTGGTAGGTCAGGAGCAGGAAGCAGCTTTTCTTGTACTCTCGGGGGCATTTCTTCTGGAGCAGGCTTCAGTAACGGTGGTGGAGGGTTGGGAAGTGGGGTCTCCATTGGGTTGCTTGGAAATGAGCATGGCCTCCTCTCTGGGAATGAAAAGGTGACCATGCAGAACCTCAATGACCGCCTAGCGTCCTACCTGGACCATGTGCGGGCTTTGGAGGAAGCAAATGCAGAACTGGAGCAAAAGATCAATGGCTGGTATGAGAAATACGGGCCTGGTTCTTTCCGAGGACTTAATCACGACTATGGTAGATACTTCTCAGTCATTGAAGATCTTAAAAGACAGGTGAGAAATATGGATTTCTGTGCTTATATAATGCATATTTATATTTTATAAAAATAGACAAAGAATTAAAAGATATCCTTTATACTATATGTTTACATACTTGCAAATCTGTGTATCTTTTAAAAGAAAATTTCAAATGTCCTTAACATTTGCATGATGTAGAATTTCTTTATGTTCCCAGTGCTTCAGGTGATGTCTGACAATAAATTATTACACAATACTATTTGTATAGTTAATTAATGAAAGAGAAATATTTTTAAAATGGATATAATTACTTGGTTTCATTCATGTTTTTTAGTTAAAAATAATGTACGTATCATTGTAAAAGCTTACACTCTAGCTCTTAAGTTCTGGATATTTATTATCGGAAGAAAATCCAGATTTCTTTACATTAGGGGCTAAAATAGATCCTTATGGGATGAAGAAGATGTAGAATCACACTGAAATTGTTTTTCCCTCTGATACGTAACATTTTGCACAACATTTCCTGTTTAGATTATTTCTGAGACTACCTGCAATGCCAAGATTGTTCTACAGAATGACAATTCCAGACTGACCGTTGATGACTTCAGGCAAAAGTAGGTGAAAAATAAACTAACTACGGTAAAAAATATAAATACTATAGGAGGTAAAAGAAAATATTTCTTGCTATTTAAACCAAAATGTTCTTAAGCAGGCAAACTAGAGAATGAGGCAATGGAATTAAATAGATCCTTATTTAAAAAGCTGCTATGAATTTCAGGAGTTCGTGGATGGCACAAGTTGTCCAGGTAAGTGCTCTACTGAAGTCAAAAGGTTGGCAGTTCAGTCCCACCTCCAAAGACAAACACAGCAACTTGCCTCTGAATGCTCACAGCCTTACGGAGCTCTTCAATTCTGCACACCTGGGGTCACCAGGAGTTGAAATATACTACTCAATGGCAATTAATTAAAAAAACCCCAACCTTTAAATCTCTAACATTATTTTACTCAACCAACAGGCATTATGGATGACAAAAATGAGCCCTGAAGAAATAACTCTTCCCTTAAATTATGCATAAATTGGAATGTAGCCCTGTTTCAATAGTTTGCAATTGCAAGAAACGTCAGAAGTGCACTTAGAGTATTATATCTCCCAGAAAATAAACTGGAGAAATTAAGCTTTATTCTTGCCTGTGATACAATTTTCATGCACTTTAACGATCCTGAAGGTATGAGAACGAGCTGGCTCTGCACCAGAGTGTGGAGGCCGATATCAACAGTCTTCGCAGAGTGCTGGATGAGCTGACCCTTAGCACAAGTGACCTGGAGCGCCAGTACGAAACCCTCAATGAGGAATTAACATACCTCAAAAACAATCACGAAGAGGTAAGGAGCCTAGCAGACCAGCTTCATACAGAACCAGATTTCCTTTTTCAAATACAGGGCTTCCTTCATAACAGAATGTGATCTATATCAGAATTCTGCTTTCTTGAGAATACTGATCCCTCTTTGCAGGAAATGAAAGCCCTTCAGTGCACAGCAGGTGGAAATGTGAACGTGGAGATGAACGCAATCCCAGGTGTGGACCTGACTATTCTGCTGGACCATATGAGAGCTGAGTATGAGGTCCTGGCTGAGCAGAACCGCAAAGACGTCGAGGTCTGGTTTACTGAGAAGGTACATCTGTGACAGAATCCACTCTAAGGCTTGTTGGGTAGATAGCCAAGCTGGCTGCTCACCCTCTTAACAATCACATTCCAGAGCGCATCGCTGCAACAACAGATTTCTGACGATGCAGGAGCAGCCACAGCAGCTAGAAATGAGCTGACGGAACTGAAACGCAGCATGCAAACCCTGGAAATAGAACTTCAGTCCCTGCTGGCCATGGTATGTAGAATTGCCACTCAACTGAATGTGTGCGTGTGCACGTGTGTAAATAAATATGTATAATACAATATGTTCATAGTAAATATGTTGTTGTTGTTGTTGTTGTTAAGTGCCGTCAAGTCGCAGGTGACTCATAGCGACCCTATGAAGGATAGTCCTCAACGCTCATAGTAAATACAGAGTAAATATATTAAATACTTAAGTATATTGAATATCAAGAATTCTGTCTATTAACAATATTGTCACCAATACTCACTATTAATTAGATTTATAATATGCTCACCAATCACAAACTTTGAAAAGCTGATTTTTCAATGGAAGGGAAAGACTTTTTAAAACTCATTCATGGGGAGCTCTGGTGGCCTAGTGGCAAGGAACTGCAACTACAATCCCAGAGGTGCACAGTTCGAATCCACCAGATGCTCTGCCGGGAAAGAAGGGACAATCTCCTCCTGTACCAGTCAGATCTGATTTGACCGTACACGTCCACAAAAATAAAAAAAAAATTAAAAAAAAAAACACCTCGTTCATATGTTTTGTTCTACTCCGCTGTAGGGCCGCCTTGAGCTGTAACTAACTCAATAGCATCTAAACATGTCATTGATTTTCAGCTGAAAACATTTAGACCTGTTAAAATATTTTTTACCGTCCTCATGTCGACTAAGACCCACAGTGACCCTATGAACCTTGCCCTGCTTTGTGCTATCCTAATCATCTCTGATATAGTGGAGCCCATTGTTACAGTCACTGTAGCAGTCCATCTTGTTGGGGGTCATCTTCTCTGTTGCTGAACTGTTTGCATAATGCTTTTTTCTAAGGACTGGCCTCTGCTACCAACATGCCCAATGTACGAGAGACAGAATTTCACCATCCTTGCCTCCAAGGAGCACCCTGGTTGCACTTTCTCCAAGACAGACTTGTTTGTTCTTTTTTTTTTTTTTTTTTTCAGTTCATGGGATATTCCTACTGCCTTACAATGTCTAAAAGAGACACATGCCACTTTTTAAACACATTCGGGACAACTTTATTCTTTTTCCAGAAACAGTCTTACGAATGCTCCTTGGCTGAGACGGAAGGCAATTACTGCCTTCAACTCCAACAGATCCAGGATCAGATTGGGGTGATGGAAGAGAGGCTGCAACAGATACGAATGGAAAGAGAAGGCCAGAAGCTGGAGTACGAGCAGCTTCTAGACGCCAAAATCTTTTTAGAAAAAGAAATTGAAACATACTGTAATCTAATAGATGGGGAAGAAAGGTAAATATTAACTCTTGAAAAGCATCTAGTCTCAACTCAATCTAAGCTTTCTCAGCATACCAACATTGTGTTTTAGAATTTCTTATTCTAAAGGCTCTACCTTCCTCAAGAATTCATTAAAATATATTACTGCAGTCAAGGGAAATGAAAACAGGCAGCAAATCAGATTTCTAAGTGAAAAATTTTGAATCTGTTGCAATGTAGAAAATATCAAACAATTCTGGTATTACAACCCAGGGGAAAGTTTATACTCTTTGCTATCGCTTATAATAACATATTCTATTTTCTTAATACTTCACTGTTTGCACCACATGCACTCTATTGAGTGAGTGATTACATTTTCATTTGAAAAGTGATTAATGAAGAAATGGGAAGATTTAACTGGAGAGGCACCTTAGCTTATTGTTAGCTAAAAGCAACAGTCCTGGAATTGCAGTCCTGACTCAAGTCATGTCTACCAGGAGAACTTAAGCACATTGTTCAGCCTCTTTAAACTCCAGTTTCCTCATTGGTAAAACTGCAATAACACCAAAACCACACTCTTAATTACTCTTAACTGTGGTGCCGCATTATATATGTAAAGTGCTTAGGACAGTGGCTTCACACAGAAGGAATTCAGTGACTGATGGCTATTAGTAAATGCTTTCCCGATGAGTAGGATGCATATTGGCATCCTCCAGGGCCAGGTCAGCCCTCTGCAGTCTCATCCCACAAAAGTCCAACGGTGCTTGCTCCCTCCTCAGCACAAAATTGCTTATTATGCCATTCCTTTCCTTTTCCATTTCTCTCTCAGCATATTTTACACAATTTTACAAGTGACTTTTTACATGCAGATGCTTTATTTTCTTATCAACTATGTAAATTGTTGTACCTTGCCTCTGTATTTTCTGCAACACCAAATCCAGTGCCTTCTACATAGTAAGGATCCTAAATGTACCAATTTGGCTTTTTTATTCCCTTCAAGTGCCCCTGGTGCTAAATCCAAGAGCTCATACCTTTCCACAAAGGAATTTCTGATGGCATTCATTTAATCTCTTCTTTCACTGTATGGAAGTCATAAACAGCTTACTAACGTTCCTCAAACATAAGAAATGGAAACTTTTTTGAAGCTAAAGCTCTAAAATCACCATTCCTACTTGATGGTTATTTCAAAACTCCTTAATGTCGGGGGTGGGGGGAAATACACAATAATATATTCTTTTCTTCACAGAGGAAGCAGATCTACATGTTATAAATCAAAAGGATGCATGCCTTTAAGTCCCAGAAATCAAATAAAAGGTACAAAAAGTATTCCCCTAGCTTTAGTATAACTCTTACATTCCAGTAAATCATTCATAAATTAAATAAAACATGTTTCTAAAGTTAATCCTAGTAATTGAAAGGATAAGGGATTGTGATGACAGTTCTAAATTATATGTTCCTTTAAAATAAGTGTGGCTAAATTATGAAACCACCAAAATGAAGACTCAATTGCCAATGTTTTACTTATTTATGATCTATTCTTCTCATGACTTCAATGTCTTAGTAAAAGAATACCTTACAATTATTTTATTATGTATTTTAATTTTTTTAACCATTAAGATAGAACAAGTTGGTAGTCAAAAGAAGACTGCATTACTTGTTTCAAGGTTTTATTTGTCTAATATTTATGTTGTTTTAATCTGGTTTCATTTACACTGTCAAACATCCATTACATTAAAAGCAACAGTTAAGATAAGAAGGACATTGCAAAGCCTTCTAAGTATTGATTTCAAGCACTGTATTACATGTAAATTTACTGTAAACTCACGAGAAATATTTTTTCAAAGCATGCTAGTCATGACTGAATTTTTTAAGGATAACTTGTACTTTTTTAAGGATGAAAATTAAGCTTTTGCTTATTTTCATTTAGACTCAGAAGAAATTATTGTCAAAACTGTGGTTGAAGAATTAGATCAACTTGGCAACGTCCTTTCATTAAGGGTCCATTCAGTTGAAGAGAAATCTTCTAAAATAAGCAACATAACTATGGAGCAACGAATACCTTCTAAAACACCATAATTAGAAAACTTACCTCAGAATACCATGGAAAGGTGACCTGTGTGAAATCCCATTGGTCAAAGAAACCACCCAAATGCGGTCTTGAAAACTAAAGGGCTCAGATTTGTTTTCCTTCTTTTCTTTTTCTTGTGCTTTTTGCATGTAATCTTTTTTAGAGGAAGAGAAAAAACAATCTGTCTCTGGGTTTGTTTTTATTTTGGGTTTCTCTGCCATTTCATTAAAAATATTTTTCTCTTGCGAGTTATTCATGATAAGTCTGTTTACTTTTAATTTTCTCAGTCTATTCCAATGTGTTAGCACAAAGTATATGCCAATAAAGTACTTCCTCTCACAGTGACAATTCATGATGGGATAAATAGGAAAGAGCTAGGTTCCCAATTAAACATAGAACTGTCTGATCTCTTGAATTTGGAGCTTTTGTGAATGTAAAAGATAAGTATACCACTGAATCGTAAATACACATTTCTTTCCTTTATAATGCTTGGTCTGATCTGAATGAATCATCAGCAAACATTGGTTTGTGGAATCTAAATTGATTTGGTGATTTTCCACTTTGCAGTATTTGATGTATCTCTCTGTTCTTACCATGGTGGTGGTTGAGCACGTGTAGGCCTGCATTACCTACGTACACACAAACCTACCTACAAGTGTGTGGTGGTCATTTCATTGTCAGTTTAATTAGACTATAATGACTAAAGTGCCCAGTTGTTCGGCTAAACATTACTCTAGATGTTATTATGAAGGTATTTACATATTATTAAAATTAAATTAGTCAACCTAAGTAAAGAGGAATGCTTTCAATAATATGGGTGGGTCTCAATGAATGAATTGAAGGCCCTAACAGAAAAAACAAACAAACAAACAAAAAAACACCACAACAAAGATTTGCTAAGGAAGAAGGATTTTACCTCAAGACTGTTAAGAGACATCCAGCTAGAGTTTACAGCCCATAGCCTGGTCTACGAATTTCAGACATAAGCCAGAGTTTCCACATTTTATCAGTTTGAGGCACATTTTGGATGGCTTTCCAGCCTTCACAATTTGAGCCAAATGGTTTAGTAAAAATAGATACCATTGAGTCACTTCTGACTCATGTAACCTTATGCCCAACAGAACAAAATATTACCTGGTCCTTTGTCAACGTGTAATTATCACTGACATGTTGGAGTTGATTGTAGCAACCCTCCTTAGATACAGAGTTAACAAAATGTGTATAAATCTGCATGATGAAATGTGTAAAATACTTATGAAAGAAAGTATGATTTGGGGGATATAGTATGCTCATGAATTAAAGAGTCCAACAGAATAAAGAAGTCATTCTCACATCTGTAATGTTGGTGCACTTCCTTTCAAAACCTCAGTCAAGTCTTTCACAGATCTAGGTAAGCTAATCCTAAAATTCACATAAAAGGAAAGGCTTTAGAATCATCAAAACCATTTAGAAAGTAAAGTATAAAGTGGATAAAAGAATTCTTACTACATATCTACAGCAATGTGACAGTAGGGAACTGGAAGATGGATAGAATCACATAGACTGGTGGAATTTCAGAGAGAACCCACGTGTAGATTCATACAAATATGTCCTATTAATTTTTAATGAAAAAGCAAACTCGGTCCATTGGAAGAGAGATAGCCTTTTTCAATAAGTAGCCCTGTACATCCATAACAAAAGGAAAATTAAATTAGCCTCAATTTAACTCTGACATCTTAGACACAAAAAAATAATTCCAAATGGACCACAGATTTAGATGTCAATCTTTGAAACAGGAGAAAAATCTTCATTAATTAGAATTATGCAAGGAGTTCCTCAACCTGACACAAAAAGTCAAAACAACAAGAGAAAAAAAAAATCAAAAGATAAATTAGGCCTAAGAACATAAAGAGACACATAGGTAGACAGGTGGATGATAGGTAGGTATGTAGATGATAGACAACTACACGTTTATACTTACTGACATGTAAATAGAGTTACAATATATTCGAGTTGTCAAGAGCCTCAGTTAGCACTGTCTTCTTTTTTTTACATCTTATTTTTATAGGATCCTTGCTGGCACAGTTGTTAAAGCCCTCAGCTCTGAAAGACTGATAGCTTGACTCTACCAGTTGTCTTGCAGGAGTAAGATGCTACAAGCTGCTTTCATAAAGATTTATGACCTTGAAAACTCTATGGAACAGCTGTGCTATGTGCTACATTGTTGACAGAATTGTAATCAACTCAGTGACGGTGGGTTTGGTCTTATGTACCCTCAGTGGTATGTAGGTACTGCATAAACCACTCACCCATTGCCATTGCTTCCAACTCAGAGTGGTGATGTAAGGACAGATTAGAACTGGCCTATAGGCTTCCAAGGCTCTAAGTCCTTATGGAGCAGATGGCCACAGATTCCTTCCACCCATCTTTCTCCAGCTGCTTCTTTCTCTCACAAAGAGGCTAGGAGGTTTGACCTGTCAGCCATTCAGTAATAGCTGAGCATTTTAACAACTGTGCCACATATAACGTGAAAATATACCTGAAATACATGTAATGCTTCCAAACCTCAAAGACCACATTTATAAAGATATGGATAATAAAAGCAATAATAAAACCTGGCAAAATATACGCTGCTTGTAGAATCAGCTTAACATGAATCCATGCAACAGAATCCCATCATAAATTGAGGACTACCTATAAATAGGTTGCTGTTGTTGTGAGGTGCCATCAAGTCGAGTACAACTTATATAGAGACCCTATGAACAAAAGTGAAACCAGTCCTGTCCTGCACCATCCTCAAACTTCCTGACACACAAGAGCCCACTGCAGAATTCACCTTGTCAATCCACCTGGTTGGAGGTCATCCTCTCCCTTGCTGACCGTCCACCCTTCCCAACATCATGTCCTTCTCCAGGAATAGCACCTCCTAGCAATATGTCCAAAGGATGTGAGGTGAAGCCTTATCATTCTTGCCTCCAAAGAGCACTCAGGCTGCACCCTCTCCAAGACGTTGTTGTTGTTATGTGCCGTCGAGTCACTTGCGACTCATAGTGACCCTATGTACAACAGCCCTAAACTCCGCTCTGTCCTGTGCCAATCGCACT